GCGGTCGCGCTCGAGCGATCGCCGAAGTTCGCCAGGCTTTCACGACTGGGCTCCAGCTGCATCAGCAGCGAGCTCTCCCCGTCCCCTCCTACGTTTCCCAGCTGGACCCCGCTCCCAGGTCCCTCGCCAAAAGGGAAGCGGCAGTCCCTCGCGCAGGTGTTTTAAGTGGCCGATGACTGCCTCGCGGTACATTCGGATTGGTTCAATCTCGAGCAGTTACAGGGGCCGCGCGTGCGATCGCCGCGCGGCTCCGCTTGCCACCGCCGCCGTGCGCGCTGCCCTCATCGCCCCCCCGCAGTGGCCCCTGACGTTGCGCATGCTCCGTAAAGGCCTTCGCCCTCGAGCGCCCAGGGCGCTGTGGGACTCCGGGTTGATGGCCCCCGCCGTCTGGAAGTCCACGCCCATCGTCAGGTTTCTCGAAGCTGCCGCCCTCAGATTTCCTGAGGACCCTTGGCTGTGTCTGGGTGGGGGGAGGGCTCTTGCGAGGTCTCGCTCGGCGGAGGAGGGCCCCTGGCCGCAGTGGCAGAGCGCACTTTCTCGCGCCCGAAGTGCAGCCTGCTGTGGTCGGACTGCCGCCAGCTCCTCTGCTCGCACGCTGGCCGAAGGAGTGCTTCCTGCCCAGTTTGGCGGAAGGCATGGCGGATTGGGCCGCCATCAGCAGTGCCCCGGTCCTGCCCCCCCCTCACCCTCTTGGGCCGCCTTCGTTTTGCGCGCTTCCCCCAGATCCTGGATCGCCGGCGCGCGACTGCAGCGATCCCAGGCGCGTGCGTCTGTCTGCGAAGCTGCTTCCCGCGCGTCGGTCCGCCGTGATGCATGCCGCTGCGCTCGGCTCCACCGTCGCGCTGCCAGACTTCCCTGCGCTGGCCTGCCCGCCTCGATCCTCGTCGGGCTCTGCCTCAGAGGTGACTCTTGCGCACCCGGTGACCTGCAGGGTCCGGCTTGAGTAAGGAGCACTTGCTTTTCAAAAAAGGGGCTCGGCCGGTCCTTTGGTTTGCATGCGTTCCGCTACCCTTTTGGCGGCGGCCCCCCCCCTGGTGTTCCTTCGCACTTCCTAGGCATGCTTGGAACAAAAGGGGGCTTCGTTCCTTATTTCTCGTTCCTTAGGTCAGGCCGAATACTGTGCTATCCTATCTTCCGTCTCGCCTCTGTCCGTCACGTTTGTCGCCCCTCTGCCCTCTCATTCACCGAGGCAGCCGGACCCACTCCAGTCGCGGGGGTCGCACTGCGCCTCCCCCTCAAACAACGTCGGCAGAGAGACCTGCTTGACATCGGCAAGCTGCGACGCCTCGTCGTCGAGGCCCGTTCCGATGAGATCTGAGTTTTTCTTATCTGTTCGCCGCGGCCGCCGCCTGACCCAGACCCCTGGTGAGCGCTATGCCTCCTCCTCCTCCTCCTCCTCCTCATCCTCCTCCTCCCTCTCCCTCCTCCTCGTCCTTTCCCTGTCGTGTTTTCCTTTCTCCCTCTCAATATCTCTCTCTCTCTCTCTCTTCGTCCTTCTCCTCGTGCCCTTCTCCTGCCCTACTCCTTTTCGTCCCCCTGTTCCTCCTCATTACCATCCTCATCAATGCCATCATCATCGTCATCATCATCATCATCATCATCGTAAATCCCAGCCTCGCCCATTTTCAGGTGGGGCCTGGGTTGTTCTATGGCTTTGGCAGTGGGCCCTGAAAACGTCACGGCAGGAGTTTTTCGGTTCGGCTGTTTTCGGCTTCGGAGACCTCTGGGTAGCGGGCCCCAGGGCCGTCAAACAGCGGCTCGGGATGCAACGCCGGTCCCAAGGAAGGGGACCAGATTCTTGGGGAGCCACGTGGTGTGTGTATGGGGTTGAAGTACAAGAGTACAGAACCCCTGATCCGTTGGTAGAGAGATGGAGGGATAGATGGATATCTTTCCCTCCCACGCGATCAAGGTACGATCGCTCCAACTCAGTACCTGAGCCCAAACGGCCAGGTGCGGGAGAGGTAAGGATAAGGAGTATATATGAGGGTATTATACGGATTCCTATCCTCTGTTCCCGAGTCCTCACATTGCGGCGTCAGATGTCTGGGTTCGGAGCGTGATGTGCGGGGATGCTCCTGGCGAGCTGCCCCGCCCGGCCTGGCAGTACGCCCGGTGGTGCGAGGAGGAGGGGGCACGCTCCCGAGGAGGAGGAGGAGGAGGAGGAGGAGGAGGAGGAGGAGGAGGAGGAGGAGGAGGAGGAGACATCATCCCACTCCCGAGGAGGAGGAGGAGGAGGAGGAGGAGGAGGAGGAGGGGGCACGCAGGCCCAGGATGGGGTTTTCCGGAACGCTCCGAGGGCGTTCCGGTGCGCTCTGGAATGGCCGCGGTGCCCTATACATTCTCCAGACCCGCCAGGTCTTGGAGATCCTCGATGCAGCCCCATCCGTATGTATGGTCATCATACAGGCCTCTTGTCTTTTAAAGGTGTCTCGGAGGAGGCGGAGGAGGAGGAGGAGAAGAAAAAGGAGGAGGAGACGGTGGTGGCGAGAACCCAGACATCCGTCAATGGTATGAGTGTATGTATGTTTGTATGTATGTATGTATGTATGTATGTAGGTAGGTAGGTAGGTAGGTCTGTACGCATGTATGCATGTCTGTGTGTATGTATGTATGTATGTATGTATGTATGTATGCATGCATGCATGCATGCATGCATGCATGCATGCATGCATGCATGCATATATGTATGTATGTATGTATGTATGTATGTATGTATGTATGTATGTATGTATGTATGTATATATGTATGTGAGTGTATGTATTTGTGTATGTATGTATATATGTATATATGTATGTATGTATGTATGTATGTATGTATGTATGTATGTATGTAATGTATGTATGTATGTATGTATGTATGTATGTATGTATGTATGTATGTATGTATGTATGTATGTATGTATGTATGTATGTATGTATATTGTATGCATGTATGTGTGTATATATGTATGTCTGTACGTATGTATGTACGCATGTACGCATGCATGCATGCATGTACGTATGCTTGTATGTATGTATGCATGCATGCATGTATGCATACATACATGAATGTATGCGTGAATGCATGGACGTAAGTATGTATGGATGAGGTATGCGCGTGTATGGATGCATGTACGGTTATTTGATTGTGTGTATGCATTGGTTTGTGTATGTGTTTGTATGTATGTGTGGACATATGTATGCATGCGTGCATGTGTGTACACATGCGTACATATGTATGCATGCGTGCATGTGTGCATGCATGCGTGCACGTGCGCATATGTATACATGCGTGCATGTTTGTATGCATGCGTGCAAATGTAGACATGCGTGCGTGTGTGTATGCATGTATGTGTGAATGCATATATGTATGTACGTGTGTATGTATGTACATTTGTATGTATGTATGTATGCATGTATGCATGCATGTATGTATGTATGTATGTATGTATGTATGTATGTATGAGTGAATGTATGTATGCATGTATATATTT